ATTATTATTATTATTGTTGTTGTTGTTGTTGTTGTTGTTGTTGTTGTTGTTGTTGTTGTTGTTGTTGTTGTTGTTGTTGTTGTTACCACCACCACCACCACCACCACTACTACTACTAAAAATACCAGGCACAATCAGACAAGACTATAAAAACATTGACCATTATTACATAATAGATACAAGTTTTAACCAAAAACCTAAGTAACTGTTAAATTTTGGTACAAAATGCATGCTGTTCTTAATATTGCCATTTTTGTAGCTCTGATGGTGTTATTTCTGAGATCTGCAACTGCTTATAATACTGTGTGAAATTTCTTAATATTGTTCTCAAAGCCCTAATGACGACGGGGACCACTGAGGTGTATTGCTGCTGTTGCTGTTGTTACTATTACTATTGCTATTATACCTTTGAGAAGGCATGTTTAAGCTCATCCACCCCCATTTCATCCCCCCCAAAAAGCTATAGGGCCTTGATCTGGAAAGTTGATCCTACAAAAATCCAAGTGAAACAGTTCTTGCTAAAACTAATGAGTGCCAAGTCTCTTACCTTTGGTCTCCTTTAATTTTTGATGAACTGGAATCTGGAAGAGAGGATGATGGGCAGCTGTGTCTTTTCCTCTGCATTTTCCTCTTTTGATGGGTTCCTTTTTATAGGAATCAGTTCCAGGGACTCTCCTAGAGGGACTAGAGGCGTATTTTTTTGTTGTTCCCTGTTTTTGTTTCATATTCACCAGATTACATTAAAATGGGGTGTGGAAATCGCAACCAGTTGGGAATTTGAGGTTCCTGGACTCGCCTTTCTTTGATGAGGTTGCAGAGACATCTTTGGCTGTGAAACATCTGGCCACTGGAGATCCATGGTGATTAACTGGAATAACCTCTTGACAAATCTGGCATTTCCCAACACCAGGCACCACCTGCTTCCAGTCGACACCCACCCACCGTCTAGCCACCGAAATGATGATTGCACTGAGATGCATTGTTTATTGGGTGTCAGGGCAGGGACATTCTAGCTCAGAAACCTGGAGTAACAATCAACCCTCTCCCACAGAGTCAGCGGAACCCTTGTGGTATAGACCTGGTGGTTAAGCTAATTTCAAAATATAATCTTTCCAAATTGGCAGAAGAAGGACTTGTGGGGTCCTTGCCAAGTGAAAGCAACAAATGTCATGTGTTTGTGGAAAGGAAGATTTAGGGTTCCCCTGGTCTGTCGCCAGGTTAGGAGCTTGAAGTCTGTGTCGGTCAGTAGAAGTCCAAGAGCCAATATTTCTTCATTATGGTTTGTAAGAAGGAAAGTGGAACCAGATGGTGCCCGGGGGGAACAGAGTTACTAAGAAATCATGATCTTCTTTTAATATGAGAAAAACAACTTGGAAGGATCATAGAAGGGAAAGGAAAATATGAGCAAAGGAGAATAAATGAACCAGGACTGAACAGAGACATTTGACAGTGATATCCATCTTGTAGGTTGGATTATAGGCATTAATTTTAGGAGTTTGCTTCAGGTTCTCAGGAATCCAGACTGATCTAATTTAGACTAAGATGATGGCAGGTTGAACTTCACATTGTGAGAGTGTATAACTAGAAACAATTCTTTATAAACTGATTGACACAGGAGGCAAAATATCCTTCATACATCACGGTCAATGACCACGAGCACTGGCAGGTTAAGGGTTTTCTGTGACATTCCATAAGCTGAATTTTTGGTGGAATAGACCACTTCCGTTGTTAGATCTATTGCTTAATGAGAGTTGACATTCTAAAAGGGGCTGTAGTGTTCAAAGAGCAAGAGTATGCTGCAGGAAGGAAGGTTGTTACTGACTGAGCACATTCCCACAAATCCAGCTACGGAGCCCAACTGGCGCTAAGGTGGCATCAAATGAACACATAATTGTCTTTGAGCGGCACCATGGAGCTGTTAGAATCACACTGATTAAATAGGGAAATCAGCTAGTCTTGATTTATCCCACATGAAAAATGTTAAAATCTTTATTTATTTTCAGTGCATATATGAGGAGAATAGCAAATCTCTTCCCACAACAGAGTTTAATACATTAGGACAGCTGTATCCATGGGGATTGGTTCCAACCACTTCCGCAGATGCTGGAAACTTCAGATAAATGCAAACCATATACAATACATAGCATGGTTTTGGGCTCACTCTAGTGGCAAGTTATGGAAATTGCATTATTGAAATACATATTTCTGTTTTTTTTTCTTTTATTTATCTATTTATTCAATTTCTATAGTGCCCATCTGGCTACAAAGCCCATTCTGTGTGGTTAATATTTTTAAAAATATTTTTAGACTGTGGATAAGTGAAACTCTGGATACCAATTCCACAGATACGGGGGTCCTACTGTACTCTTTATCCAGATCATATTGTTGCCTAACATTCTTACGTTAGTTTCTGCAGCTGCTACAAACTTGCACCTCTTCTGTTTTCGAATATCAATAGAAACCAAAGCAGGCAGACATAGTAATGCAATGCTAGAAAAGTTTTCCAAAATTGATTTATTGTTTCTTAAGGAAAAGAGCTATGAGTTTATTTGACAAACAGTGTCTGTTTTGGTAAGAAGCTGAAATGTGTGAAATGTGAGTTAAGGGAAGATTCTACTCAGAAGAACTTTCCTCCGGAACTTAAAGACAAATATCCACCATCAGTAATCAGTAGCACGTAGAGATGTCCGCAGTGACTCAGGTGGCCTTTAGTCCTCACTGAAAGAGAAAAGTAAGAAGTTAAATGCACTTAAGTCTTACTCAGTAAGACTTAAATATCAAATACTCTTCCGGATCACTGTACAACTCAACATAAGGGCTTCATTCATGCATCTTTTGATCTCTACACGTGTTTGTCTGTTCATTTAGCTTCACATAGTGTGCAGCCCATCACTAAACTTTGCAGTTTGCTATCTCTGCAGCGCAATTCAAGTGCCCCTTTCATCTTGAATCCTTCTTAGGCAACACCCCTCTTTTAAGCTACTCACCATCCAGAGAAATCTAGGGCTTTCCAGGCATCAATGACCTCTGCAAGGTTTCCTGCTATCTTTCCATTGGGCAGCTCCAGGTCATCTGCACTATTTCCATTGAAGTTCCCACAGGAGGCGCATAGTTTTCCTTCCAGGCTTCCGCTGACTTCCACTTTCACCTCCCCGCAAGGTCTGAGGAGAACTTTGACTTCAGAGGCCAAATCGATCACAACCCCATCGTGAGATAAGCTTACAGATACATCTCCAGATGCTTCCACTGGAAGAGAGACGCGGTGCCCGTTGACCTAAAATGCAGAAAAGAAGAACAGAAGCCACTGGGTCAGGGTTACATCAATGAAGAAAGACCCAGTGGGGGCTTGTGTATCTCTTCATTCTTCTTCAAAAGACCTGTCTCTTCTTGAATGAAGTTGAGATGCAATTTCATCTAAGCAGTTCTGTCCTGGTTCTGGGTGACCAACATCCACGCAGAGACTGAGGTCTATGGCATAATAACTTTACCTGGTCTTGAGATGTCTTCCTGAAACATATGCTTTCATTTTTCCATCCCTGTACCAGTTAAGTTTTCTAGTTTTTTTTCTGAAGTATCCATTTTTAACGAGTGTGTCTATCAAGCTCACATTTGCTCAGTTCCACTGTTAAGCTACTCAAATTTCCTCTGTTAAGCTACTCCATTTCCACACTGGTCTGTACATTTTCTTTTGAGAGCCTATTATTTATTTTTTATTTATTTATTGCATTTATACCCCACCTATTTAGTCGAACGACCACTCTAGGCGGCTATACATATGAAAATCTGTACCTCTGCTTCTGTAAAAGTACTGTATATATAGAAGTATATACAAAATGCATGCATTTCCCTGCATAATATACAGTGGTTTTGTTCGCGATTTATCAGTGATATGCAGCTTTTTGTAATGCCACATCCCTAATATATATGCATTCTTGTTTACATTTTTTTCCATTGCCAACCACAATTGTGAAGTTTGGAATCATACATATACTGGACAGAAAAAAAATCTTTTGGTTCTTTGTACTGTATATTGAAGGAGAACAAACTAGGTACCCAGTGAGGTGTGATAGATAGAATAATGGAATAGACTCTGGAGACCAGGGTTTGAATCCCCACTTGGCCATGGAAACTCATGGGAGAATGGAACAGGTAAACCCATTCCTTTAATGTCTCACTTACGGTACCTTGAAGACCCTATCAAGGTAGCAATAAGTCATTTCCAACTTGATGGCACATAGCCTACTATCTAATTAGGGAAGTTTGCATCAAAATATGAAAAGAACAAAGTTTTACAGCTTTCTTAGTTCCACATTCCTCCACTGAACCTACCTTCTTCTGCCTCGGCCACTTACCCATGTGTCTTTGTTCAGTTTCACTGTGATGAAGACCCCTTGGAAAAAGACGTGTATTGTTGGCACAGCTGACAAATCCCAATCACTGCATTCCTGGACCACAGCTATGATCCTGAACCAAAAGGGATCATTTTGGTCGCAGAGGGAAGCAACTTCATAAACTCCGTTGTACAGGATTTCTCCAGAGGCGCCATCAAAAGAGGTCATCCGTGCTCCAGGGGAGATTATGCACTCCCCTTTTGGCCTCGTGCAACCACGCACACCATTGTGGAGGGAGCATATGTCTCCCACCTGGCAGCTGGTTTCTTCACAGACTAGCTGGCTTAATGTATGGCAGGTGCAGTTGTTCAAACAGCCTTCTAAGAGAAGATTTTCTCCAGCCTGAAACATTTATAGAAAATAGTCATCATTATCATCCCTTTAAAATACAAACATCTGATTGTTAGGACGAAGAGCATCTCCCAAAGACAGCTTGTGACATCTAGAGGATATGAAAGTTATGAAAAGAGCTCAAAATAATAATAAAGATAATAAAGAGTTCAATTCAAAACTCTTTACGGATCAAAATCAATATATTGGATGAAATAACACACAAGTGATCCTGAAAACAATTCTATATAGTGATGAGTTTCCCACCCAATCCCTGTCATATCAGAAGTTGATCTGTTTGTTGTTGTTTAGTAGTTAAGTCGTGTCCGACTCTTTGTGACCCCATGGACCAGAACACGCCAGGCCCTCCTGTCTTCCACTGCCTCCCGGAGTTTGGTCAAATTCATGTTGGTCGCTTCCATGGCACCACATCTAGTTTAGAACTAATCAGTTTCCAAGATACTGCCATGAACTCCACACCCCTTTGTTATCCTTGCTTTTCTCAGCCTGGAAGGAATCCTTTCCATTAGTCATATAATATACAATTGGTTCCCAACCTTGGGTAACCCAAATGTTCTTGAACTGCAATTCCCAGAAGTTTCCACCATCAGCTGTGCTGGCCAAGGTTTCTGGGAGTTGCAGTCCAAGAACACCTGGGTTACCCAAGGTTGAGAACCCCTGCAATACACGATGCAACATGGTGGCAGTGGCAGAGAGGGTCTCCTCCAGGCTAATATGTGCTCTGTTTGGTGGTCCCATGTGCGTATAGGATGCATTCAACTATACAGACATTATCAAAAGCGTGGCAGGTTGCCAAATTGCACTGCCTTTCCAAGCTCAAAGTGGGCCATGTTGGATCAATGGAGTCAGCCAGTGGTACAGGGGGCAAGGGAGAGTCTACATTATTCTGAGTAGGCTGTGACAGAACCCCATGCCAGTAATCACACCATTAAACCCAAACCTTGAAAGATTTTCAGATCATTCTGACTCTTTTGTTTAACTCCAAAATGGGGCCAATAATTCCCCCACACTCAAGACGGATCCATACGGACTCTATTACTGATGCCTGTATCCTCATCATCTTAGAACTGCAGAGATGGAAGGGACCCTATAGATCATCAAGTCCAGCTCCTGCCAAGAAGGCACAGTAGGGAATGGAACTCCCAGCCTGTGGCTCCACAGACAGATGTCTAAACGACTGAGCTATCCAGCAGTTCTACGTGCAACATGTTCTAAGGAGAAATTCCTCTTTATTAGAGGACCGGTGCATAAGTAGCTTTTGAGAAGAATGGTCTGCCAGCTTCATAGGTGACTTTACTGCCTAAATGCATTGCCATTTCAGTTAAGTGATGACCATTTCATTTTGTAAGTCTCTAATGTAGTATTGAGGGAGGAGTTAAACTACCTGCTTATCTTGGAATCCATGCCATGGTTCTGGTTTCCAGGAAATACAGACACTTCTCATTTCTTCAGACCTTCCAGATGTTAGAAACATTCATTGTTGAAAAACTCCATTATGTTGGGAAGGGAAGACTCCAGTCCAGTAAGAAAGAGGCCCATAGAGGTCTCATAGACCAGCTAGCCATCCAACCTACTCTTTGCTCTCAAAGCTAAGGGATTAGCAACTTTACAGATGTTGCTGAACTATTACTCCCATTATTCCCCACCATTGAATATGCTGATTAGGACTGATGGGACATGTAATGTAAAAACATCTGGAGAACCACAAGTTGCTCAGCCCGACTTACAGTTTAAATGGAGCATGGTAAACATGAATATAAATCCATCATATCAAGTGCTTCACTCACCTTGATGTAGTGCCCATCATGCACACAGCCACAATTCTCCAGTGGCACACACCTGTCCCCATCAAATAGATAGTCAGGGTCACATTGGCAGCCTTCAAAGCATTGGCTGGTACACTGCCCTGGAGAGGACAAGCTGGCACAGGTAAAATCACAGGTTCTTGTACACAGCTCATAATGACTGTTGGAAGGGCAGGTGAGAGCTGGAGAGAAAGCGAAGTCATAAGATGAAGCATCACAGGAAGGTACATACGTAGGAAGTACTAGCTATGCAGTTGGAAAAAATAGATAATTTCCTCCATGTTCATTTATGCATGTAGAAGAAAATGGCCTGAACAGAAGGAATGAACATGATTCTGCTCTATGGATCCATGATTTAATTTGAACACCACCAAAAAAAAAATACCCCTGTGTAAATACTAAGATCATTACAGAAGAATATGCCAAATTACCATTAACTTCTATGGCATGCTCCACTATCCAAATGACATCCACATAAGCCTACATTCTAAACATTGCTGGTCATATGACTTTGAGACACTATAACACCTGTTTTGTAGCAGATGTCCTGATCACTGATTTATACACTTCTATTCTATGATCAGGCACGAATCAGAGTGTTAATAATGGCCTTTAAAGTCCTAGATGGTTTGGACCCATAATTACTTTTCCTGTAGTAAAGCACTCATTGAATAAGAACTGGTGTAGGTCCTGCCAGTGACAGAAGTAACACCCTGACAAAACACAGGACCTTCTGAATGGCCAAACCGAGATTATAGGATAGTTAGCTTTACAAATTCTAGCTTTTCTTTACTGATTGTCCCACTTCCACTGAAGTGGAGCTTCCTTTATGTTAGTTGACAGTGCTGTTTTCTTCGATTTTTTTTTAACAGCCTCGCATGCTGCCTTTGGGAGGTTTAACCGGGAGGAACCTTTCTGGGCTAGTGTGACTGTCAATCTATCCAACATGAACCAATTGTTCCATCCTTGCCTCTGAATTCAAAGAGAATCCTGCCTCTCTGCTCTGTCTCTCTTTCCCTCTCTTTAATCTGTTGGAAGCAATGAGTCTGCTGAGGCCTGTTGCTGGAAGCAGTCATGCTTGTCAGTTTGCTGCTTGATCTATTCAATTGTATGTAACGAATCCTTTTATTCTTTCTCCTACTGATGTCTCAGAGTGAGTTACTGATATTGTGAGTGCCAGTTAATAAAAAGGGGTGGTCTTCTCCAAGGAACTTGAAGCTATTCTGCTCTGTGAGTTCCTGCATTTCTGTTGTGCAGCTAGAGGATTTTAACCACAAACCCAAATCTCTGCAATAGTGACATGATATACAGTGGTGCCTTGCTAGACAATGATAATCCGTTCCACTGAAATAGCTGTTTAGCGAAATCATTGTCTAGCGAAAAGCATTTCCCCATTGGAATGCATTGAAACCTGTTTAATGCATACCAATGGGGAAGAATCGTCGTTGTCTAGCGAAGATCGGCCATAGGAAAGCCGCTTTGCGAACCGCCGATCAGCTGTTTACATCGCTGTCTTGTGAAGCTTAGGTCCCGAAAACATCTGTTTTGCGAGCGCGGAGGAAGCTGTCAAAATCGTCGTCTAGCGAAAATCGGTTTCCGAAGCAAAAAGTCAATGTCTAGCGAAAAAACTGTCATGCGGGGTAACTGCCTAGCGAGGCACCACTGTATTTTATCCACTCTGAGTGATGCATAAGCATTGGAAGTATGTGGCATAATTTTATATACAAATTCACGACTCTTTTTAAACGTTGCTGCTGTTCTAATCCATTCTGGCTGGGAAGCATGGGAATTGATGTACCCCATAGAGGGCAAGTTTCAAGGTGGGAAAATCTGATTCAGTGTAACAGGATGAATATATGAAACATCAATGGAGTAGGGAATGAAGATAAGAAAATGACAAGCCCGGATTCCTATGCAAACTTACGGCAGAAGGTTTCTGTTCTCCACGCTCCAACTGCAACGCCAGCCTCCTGGCATGCAGCTACGTAGGCCTGAAGGCTCCGGCAGAGGGCCTCTACTGAACCACTGGCCGCACACATGTCGTACAGGCAATGGCTGAAATATTCAGCGGGATTCACCACAGAATGGCAGTCTTTGAAAGGGCCTGAAGTGGCCTGGATCATTCCACAGGAGCTCTCAGGGCGATACGGCTCCGTCTGGGCTCCACCACAGATGGGACACTGTCCCTCACAGCCATCGATACAACTTGTGCCCTCCAAGGGAACTTTCCAAGCGGCTCCAAATTCCTCAACGCTCTGGGTGCTCTTCCCACTGGGCAGGATGAACTCATCAGTCTTGTTCTTGTTAAAGTTGCCACAAAGCCCCCTGACATGCCCTTGGTACGTGCTGGGCACAGAAACAAGGACGAAAGAGGAGGCATCATACAGGACCTGGAGGCCAAAGTCAGTCTGGATGATGACATTGTTCCCTTCCTGGTTAGCCCACAGTTTCCCATCTGTTGTCCTCATCGGCAGCATGTAGAGCTCTCCATCCACCTGCATCATTAACAACAAGAACAATGTAACTGTGGACATTGCTATCAATGACATGCTTATCTCTATAAGACACCTTCAAGACTCCCCTGTCAGCGTAAGTCGTCTTCAGAGCAGAGATAGGAAGGTCCTCCATTCTAGAAACTAAGGTATGGATGGAAGAAAGAAAGGAGAGGGTAGTTTTTAAGGACGAAAGAGGAGGCATCATACAGGACTTGGAGGCCAAAGTCAGTCTGGATGATGGCATTGTTCCCTTCCCGGTTAGCCCACAGTTTCCCATCCGTTGTCCTCATTGGCAGCGTGTAGAGCTCTCCATCCACCTGCATCATCAACAACAAGAAAAATGTAACTGTGGACATTGCTATCGATTACATGCTTATCTCTCTAAGACACCTTCAAGACTCCCCTGTCAGCATAAGTCATCTTCAGAGCAGAGATAGGAAGGTCCTCCATTCTAGAAACTAAGGTATGGATGGAAGAAAGAAAGGAGAGGGTAGTTTTTTTTTACTCCTTCCCTCTTCTCTCCATCCTCTGCTATACAGTGGTGCTTTGCATTACGATGTTAATTCGTTCCAGTGAAATCGTTGTAGAACTAAAACATCATAAAGCGAAATTAAAAAGCCCATAGAAATGCATTAAACCTGTTTAATGCGTTCCGATGGGCTTAAAACTCACCGTCCAGCGAAGATCCTCCATAGGGCGGCCATTTTCGTTGCCTGTCTTGCGAGGAATATGTCCCTAAACACAGTGGGGAGCCATTTTATTTATCCGGCGGCCATTTTGAAACCACCGATCAGCTGTTGGAAAATCATCATTTTGCGAAGAATTGGTTCCAGAAGCATGGAACAGATCATTGCAAAGCAAAATTCCCCCATAGGAAACATTGTTTTGTAATCGCAAAAGCGATCGCAAAAAGTTCATCGTAATGCGATTTTGTCGTTAAACGAAACAATCGTAAAGCAAGGCACCACTGTACTTCTTAACGTCATGGGGGCCCAATAGATTATGGGAGACAAAATTACCTGTAGGGTTCTTGAGATTCTGGGTATTTTACTAGCATTCCTGATGTGAGACTTCAGAAGAGGATTTACCTTAATACTCCATTGTGCTGCCCTCTCAATGACGACAGAATGTCCTCCAAAGGAGACCAGAACCATCTTTACCATGGACATTCCATTCTCTACCAAAACAGAAAAGTTTGCTGGTGCTTGAGAGTCCTTTCCATCTACGTTAACTAGAACATAAACACAGGTACCCTGGAAGTCATAAGCCAGGCCATCTAGAGTCAGGTAGTGGGAGCCTGAAGCCACACTGCATTGTCCCGTGCCCGCAGGATGACAACCTAGAATGCCACTCTCCACTTTGCATTCCTCATGGGCTCCACAGGGGGCATTGCGGCATTCAACAACTCCATTGCTGCCACAGTGGCATCGCTCCTGGCAGGAAGAATGAGGGTAGAAATCCTCTCCTTGCTTGTAGTACTTGCCCTCGAACAAGCAGCCACAGTTGCCCACTGGAACACACTGGTCCCCACTGAGCAGAAATCCCGGATTGCAATAGCATCCTTCTTTACATGATGGCTTGCAGCCGTATGGAGCTGAAAGGCCACGGCATGTTTCAGGACAGCCGTGTCCACAGAGTTCATAGTGGAAGTTAAGTGGGCAGGCAGGGCCTAGAGGGAATGGGAAAAAAAACAACAAATTGAAGCTTACATATCACTTCGATTATTTTAAAGGAGTTAGTAGCAGAATAATTCTGCATTGCTCTGTTCTGTCTCTATTGGAGTGACACCTGCTAGTCAGAATAGGTTTTAACAGAATCTGTAAGCTGAGCTATCGCTTGTTTTATCTATTAAGTCATTTCATTTTCCTAATGGAAGTCTCTGGGTGCCAATGCCCTCGCTGTGTTTTTAATGCCTTGTAATTGCTGAATAAAGAAAGCTAACCACCGAAAAATTGAGGCTTTTGAGTTGTGGTGCTGGAGGAGGCTCTTGAGAGTCCCTTGGACTGCAAGGAGAACAAACCGATCCATTCTGAAGGAAATCAACCCTGAGTGCTCACTGGAAGGACAGATCCTGAAGCTGAGGCTCCAGTACTTTGGCCATCTCATGAGAAGACTCCCTGGAAAAGACCCTGATGTTGGGAAAGTGTGAAGGCAAGAGGAGAAGGGGACGACAGAGGATGAGATGGCTGGACAGGGTCATTGACACTACCAACATGAATTTGAACCAAATCCGGGAGGCAGTGGAAGACAGGGGGGCTTGGTGTGCTCTGGTCCATGGGGTCACGAAGAGTCGGACACGACTAAATGACTAAACAACAACAATTACTGAATAAATGGAAAACATTATCATTATAAGCCTAATCTATTCTATTTTAACATTTGGGTGGGACAGGATGGAAAAAGACAGTGATGCCTCTACCTCCACGATTTAATAATGGCCTGGAGTTTTAGAGGCAAAATGAATTCAATACTTCTCACTTAAACGTTGCCACTAGGTAATCTTGGTTCAGTTCGCATGATTCTTCCTCTTAAAAAAAAAATCATCAGAGTGGCACTTACTGCAGAAGGACTCTGATCTCCATTCTTCCACTGGGATGCCCAGAGCTTGGCAGGCTGCCACATAAACGCTGATGGCATGGCAGGAAGTGTCAAGCTGACCTTGATATTGGCAGGTGTCGAATACACAGTCGTTAAAGTAGGGTGTTGGGTCAATGGTCTCGTGGCACCGCCTGAATGGTCCATTAGTTTTGATGAGGATCCCGCAGTACTGGTCACCCTTATAGGTTTCTTTCTGTGCCTCCCCACACACCGGGCAATCAGTGGTGCAGACCTGGGAGCAACCGGGCACATCTGCCACCTTCCAGCTTTCTGCAAACTGAGATACGTTTGATGTTTGGCTCCCATCCTTCTTGGTCAGGTCATCGTTGGGGTTCAAATTGTTGTTGCCGCAGAGGCCACAGAGGGCATTGCTGTAGGTGCTGGGCACAGTGACTTTGACGTAGCTGTTCCAGTCAAAGGTGAGTGTGACGTCAAAGCCAGTCTTGACGAAAGCTTCGTTTCCACGGATGTAAGCCTGGATCTTGTCTTCATGGTAGAACGGCAGGTTTACAAAGACTTCATTAACCTAGAACGCAGGGCAAACAAAATAAACTGTCATTCAGGCGTTCTCCTCTTGGTTTGGGGATATTTGTACATGGCGATTACAATACATCAATCAATTTAGATTTCAAGATGACCGCCAAAGCGGTTTAATGCAAAAGAGGACTCACTCTGTCTTTAGAACACACTTGCTGCAATCTGGTTGCTCAGTGTAGTAAGTCAGAACTAGAGTAAGCCTATGGAATTAGTGACCATTTAGTGAGTCAACTTCTCCATAGGATCCACTGATTCAATGCACCAACTTTAGGTGACTTACTGTGGAAAGCAACAGGATTTCCACTACCATGTGCTTAAAGTATCCTTGACCTGTACAAAAATACTCTGGGTGCCAGGTTTACGAACCTGAGTAAGTAAAAGTCCGGTCTTCCTTGGCTACAACTGCCTTTGACGCAGACCTGTCCTCTAGAGCAGTGGTCCCCAACCTTCGGCCTCCAGATGTTCTTGGACTATAACTCCCAGAAGCTTTCAGCAACACTTCTGCTGGCCATGATTTATGGGAGTTGAAGACCAAGAACATCTGGAGGCCCAAGGTTGGGGAGCACTGCTCTAGAGTGGAATCTAAGAGCACTCAGCTGGCCACCAAATGCACAGATTGCATGACAAGCCCTCCTCACTGTAGCTCTGCAAGGTGTCTGTGTCATGACAGTTACATACTGGAGAAAACAAACCTAGTGATGAAGGGCTCATTAATTTAGTGTTGGGGTCACCTAAGGACTTTCTTGCAGCCCCTCATCTCTGTTATAATGCAGCTAGCAGTTGTATGTGCCTTCAGAAACGTACATGAATGACGCCTGTATTAATACCTGAATCTTACGTGGATGCGCCTGGCTCAGCGTAATGGTTATGTTGTAAGCCTCCAAGGTCACCACTTTGGTGTAGGACACCTTTTTGTTCCCTCGGTTGTTGTTCTCCACATTGACCGTGAAAGGTATGAGCGTTGGGTCATCAGAGCAATATCCTGTCAGCTGGTAGATACAGGTGCCCATGAAATCGTATCTCTTCCCATCAAAAGTGGTGTAGTGAGGATCCCCAGAGGCTGAGCATGTTGCAAAGTTGATGGGGTGACAGCCCCGGATCCCGTCGTCCACGGTGCACCTCTCGTTGGCTTTGCAGCTGGCTGGTTTACACACCACCATCCCCAGGGTGGGATCACATGTGCAGTGAGAGGTGCAAAGCTCATCAGCCCAGAATTCCTCTCCGGGTTTGTAGTAGAAGCCGTTGTAGGTGCAGCCACAGCTCCCGACTGGCACACACTTGTCAATGCTGAGGACGTAGCCGTCATTGCACTGGCAGGTTTCCAGGCATGGCTCCTTGCAGAAAGAGGGAGCAGTGCGGTCCGAACAGGTGGCAGCGCAAGCATGACCACAGAACTCATAGTGGCTGTTCTCTGAGCATGGCAGGACTGGAAGGAAGAAGAGCAAAAATGTAAAAGAAGGGGCGTGGAAACTTTAGAACTGAGAAAATATACTAAATCCCATCTTGGTAAGAATCTGTTTTAATGTTGCATGCTATGTATTAAAAGGTAAAGGTTCCCCTTGACATTTTTTAGTCCAGTCGTGTCCGACTCTAGGGGGCGGTGCTCTTCCCCATCTCCAAGCCGTAGAGCCAGCATTTGTCCGAAGACAGTTTCCGTGGTTATGTGGCCAGCGTGACTAGACACGGAACGCTGTGACCTTCCCATTGAGGTGGTATCTATTTATCTACTCACATTTTTACATGCTTTTGAACTGCTAGGTTGGCAGGAGCTGGGACAAGCGACGGGAGATCCCTCCGTCGCATGGATTCGATCTTGTGACTGCAGGTCTTCTGACCTTGCAGCACAGAGGCTTCTGCGGTTTAACCCGCAGCCCCACCACATCCCCTTTGCTACATATAGAGGAATTTTAGGCAGGCTTTCCCTGAATGACTGGCTGCCTAAGTGGAGGTTTTTAATGAATGGTTGTACCTTTGCTGCTGCAAATGTGCTTTGTTGTTACTTTTGTTTGCTGTTTTTTTTAAGGGTGGTATTTTTTTTATCCTCTTTAGTATTTGTATACTTTCTTTTAATGATGTAAGCTGATCTTTTTAGAGGAGAAAGATAGAAATATACTAAACAATCAAACAAACAAATAAAATGCTATATATAGTATACATAGGATCAAACAAATGGCATACTAAAAAAACAGCAAACAAAAGCAACACCAAAGCACATTCGAAGCAGCAAGGTACAACCATCCATTAAAAACCTCCACTTTGGTAGCCAGTTACTAAGAGAAAGTTTGTCTAGAGAGAAAGGTCTTCCCCTGCTTACAGAAGGATAGCAGAGATAGGGCCTGACCGGCTTCCTGTGGGGGGACCCGTTGCTTTGTCCCAGCTCCCGCCAACCTAGCGGTTCGAAAGCATGCAAATGCGAGTAGATAAATAGGTACCATCTCGGTGGGAAGGTAAACAGCTATGTATAGATACATAGGATCAAACAAATGCCACACTAAAAAAACAGCAAACAAAAGCAACACTGAAGCACATTTGAAGCAGCAAGGTACAACCATCCATTAAAAACCTCCACAGCCAGTCACTAAGATAAAGTTTGTCTAGAGAGAAAGGTATTCGTTTGCTTACAGAAGGATAGCAGAGATGGGGCCTGACTGGCTTCCTGTGGGAGGAAGTTCCAAAGTCTGGGAGCAGCCACAGAGAAGGCCCTTTCCCATGTGCACTTGTGAAGGTGGCAGGACTGAGAGAAGGGCCTCCTCGGATTATCTTAATCCCTGAGAAGCCTCATAAAGGGAGATACAGTCCTTGAGATAGCTTGTTTGGGGCTTTACACTGTCGGCTAGAACTGGCACCTTGAATTGTGCCCCGAAATGTTAGGATATTGTGAACCAAAAGAACATATACGAATGATGAACTTTGAAGTGGTAGTGGTGAAGTTCACCTTCTTAGGCCCTGCCTAGTAATCAGAAGGAGGACAGAACACAGTTAAGGATGCTCTGGTCCACGACAAAACTCACCGCAGCCAGATGGTGTCCTCCAGTCATATATGGTGGCGCCTGCTTTCCTACAGGTTGTAGCATAGGCCTCCAAAGCTTGGCAGAGTATATTTGAGGCCCCGCCATTCAGGCACACATCATATATACAGCTATCAAAGAAGTCATCTGGATTCACAATGGCATGGCATTCTCTGAAGGGACCTTCCGAGGTTTTGTTGATCAGCCCACAGTAGTCTTCATTTCCATACAACTTCCTCTTGTTCCCATCGCATGTTGGGCAATTTCCTTTGCAGTAATCCCAACAAAAGGGGTCCCGGTCCTCAACTCTCCAGCTGCTGGCCCAGCTTATGATGGAGGAGGCTTTGGTCCCATTGGGAAAGATCATGTCATCTCTAGGGTTTTGATTGAAGTCTCCACAAAGCCCACACATGGCCCCATAGTAGCTGCTGGGGAGGTTGATGATCAGGTGCGCATTCCAATCATATGTTACTTGGAGGCCAAAATCAGTGAGCAGAACAGCTTTGGGCCCACTCTGGTAAATCTTGATCTTCCCATCTTCAAGAGTCAACGGAAGGCTGACAATGGCATGATTTAGCTAAAGAGAAAGTGACAAAAAAACCCCCCAACAAATCAAGAAGGATGACCAGGAATTATTCCTTTGGTTTTCTACGAGCCATTTACGTTTGAGACAATCTGTGTTTCAGAAATGGTTAAGCCAGCACTGGAGGAAACAGAGCCATGGCAAGGTAAAATGCTCTGCTCCTGGTGGTAGAGTCTGACATTAGCAGAAACCAGAAATGGACTGGAAATAGGAATTTGAATGGGTTGAGCTCTCCCTCCTCTTTTAACAGATTGCACAAAATTTAACACTGAAGTTAGCTAATATTTGTAATTTATATTCCATAGATTTTTTTTCTGTAAGGAAAAAAATGCATTCATAATACAGTGATGCCTCGCAAGACGAAAATAATTTGTCCCGTGAATCGTTTCATATTGCGAACATTTCGTCTTGCGAAGCGCGGTTTCCCATAGGAGTGCATTTAAATGTAATTAATGCATTCCTGTTTGTCTTGCGAAGCACGGCCATAGAAAAATTTGTCTTGCGAATCACAAAAGAAAATTAGCAAACCTCTTTCGTCTTGTGAGTTTTTCATTGTGTGAGGCATTCGTCTTGAGAGGCATCACTGTATAAAACTGTTCAGTAATACCTGTCAATCCCACCCAAGAAATTTTCCTTATGTGACTGTTTTGGCCTGATGTCTTGAAGTGCCTTTGTCTTGGGATCTTGGCTTGTCTTTTAGAGCCTATTGTGCTATCTCGTAGCGCTCACCTACAGAAACGTCATTCAAACATTGTAGCTTGAATAATAACAAGATCTCACAATGTCTGTGACTTCAACTTATAGACACAATTCTTACATACATAATAAACAATACTATCAATTAAACTCCTAAGTAATTCCTTCTTCCATACTTTAGTGATTCTCAGCCTTGGTTAATCCAGGTGTTGTTGGACTGCAGTTCCCAGAAGCCTCCACCACTAACTGTGTTGGCCAAGGTTTCTGAGAGTTGCAGGCCAAGGACACCTGGATTACTTAAGGTTGGGAAACACTGTTTTAGTCTAGCTTTATTTTAATATGAAAACAGCCTGAGACAGAAAATGTTTGACAGATGCACTGGGCTGAAGTAAGACCTTCTCAGGTCAGTGGCATTTGCCTCCAACTCATTGGATAGCTCAGTGGATTAGGTGCTTGGCAGTAGAGCCAGAAGTTGGGAGCTTGATTCATTATTGTGCTTCCTAGGAAAAAACCCAACCTGTACGGCCTTGGGAAGCCGCAGAGTCCCAAGGCAGTCCCAGAAGAAGGAAATGATGAGCCACATCTGAATATACTATACAGTACTTAGAAATTGTGGCAAGGGTCACCATAACTCCTAATAACTCCATAACACCATAACCCCTAACTCAAGTCAGACAGTACAACATTATTATTAAGTGAATGTAAGAAGGGTGGGCAATATGGATTTCCTGTCAAGTTTATTTGAGATGTCTTGGGGGGTGTGTGTGATGGGCTCTCATGTCCAACCAATGTCGCTTTTCCCAGTTTAAGAGATTGTATACTTAATTACTTCATTGCTGAAGTCCCATGATCCTAAAGCTCAGTCGGGCTCCATAATGGCTATTATCTTATTTATTCAGAGCTTAGCTCCCCAAAAGGCAATTGCAATAACTGATGAATTTCTTCAGCCTTGATATATTGATAGAGCTCAAAGTCGGTTTCCCCAATGGCAACTTATCATTATGAATATGATGAGCCACATCTGAATATACTATACTTAGAAATTGTGGCAAGGGTCACCATAACTCCTAATAACTCCATAACACCATAACCCCTAACTCAAGTCAGACAGTACAACATTATTATTAAGTGAATGTAAGAAGGGTGGGCAATATGGATTTCCTGTCAAGTTTATTTGAGATGTCTTGGGGGGTGTGTGTGATGGGCTCTCATGTCCAACCAATGTCGCTTTTCCCAGTTTAAGAGATTGTATACTTAATTACTTCATTGCTGAAGTCCCATGATCCTAAAGCTCAGTCGGGCTCCATAATGGCTATTATCTTATTTATTCAGAGCTTAGCTCCCCAAAAGGCAATTGCAATAACTGATGAATTTCTTCAGCCTTGATATATTGATAAAGCTCAAAGTCGGATCCCGAATGGCAACTTATCATTGTGAATTACTGTCAAGTTGTTCATCCCAGCTGCCTGACATACCCGCACTCTTCCAGTTTCCTGCTTGTAGATGGAGACCTTGTAGCCATAGACATAGATGTTGGTGAGACGCACATAGGACACCGCCTGGTTGCCCCTGTTATCATTCTTCTCCTCTACTGAGAAAGGAACCAGTGTACAGTCATTTCCACAGTACTTGGCGATGGTGTACGTGCAGGTGCCTTGGAAATCAAAGTTCATCCCATCAAAAGTGTGGTAGTGTGGGTCCCCCCACCCCCAGCAACTTCCTGTGAAGTCAGGGACGCAGGTGGCTTGGTCCTCCTCGATCTGGCATGTCTCCTTTTCTCGACACTTCAGCGCTTTACATGGATCTGTAATGAGAGGAGAACTTATGAGTGAGTACAGAGGTCATTCAGAATGAATCTGTGGGTGGGGCAGAGGGCGAGGTTTAGGAATGCATGTGAGGAGAAGAAAATACAGCATGACTTTTCTTCCTGTAGCCATTTTACAAAGTTAATTGCTCATTTCTTTGCTCATTCGCCATAAAAGGGAGGGGAAAGTGATTTAGAGCAGGCAACAGATGAGAGGCAACATTTTTCCTGGACAAGCAGCTGTCCGTGCTAGGAAGCAGCCTCTCATACTCAGCTGAAAATGCTGGTGACACATCACCAAAGTGCCCTATGACGAGCAATCGGGAATTGTACCGGAGTGACAAAACATGAGGATAAAGGAGGATAAAGGGAATCCAATGAGAATGTCTTCTTTTAAACCCCAAACCTAAAACTCCAGTTGTTTATTTTAGAGATTGAAATTAATGTATTTAAGGGATGTGATACCATGAAAAATACTGATTACTATTCCTTAGAGCATAGAAATCACTCATTTTGCTAGAGATAATTACATGCAGAAATAACTAACTAACTAGCACTCTCCCATCCACACTATTAAAAAAACCCTTTAACAAGCATTGTTTCCACACAGGAGTGTTGGACTAAGTTGCTTGCTTCCTTCTGGTGGAAAATAATTAGCAGAGAGTGATATGACACAAGGAAGGGACAGTCCTCAGGCTAGCAACCATGTGGTTATGTCTTTCACTTAATATCTACAAACCTTCTTTAAAAAACTTAAAAGACCTTCTGCTTACCCTTATTGATGCAACTCATGACCCCATCTTCAATTTTGCAACTCTCATCAGTGGCACAGCTGTGGGACTCACAGATTACTCCTTGTCCCGGAGAGCAAATACAGCTCGTTTGGCATGCATTGAGCAGGACTTTCTCATTAGGCTGGTGGGAAATTGGAGCATAATAAGATAGACAGCTATTGAATTACAAATGAATCAGTTCTACAGCACTGGTCCTTAGATGCAGATGCGTTTTTGATCCACCTACTTGTGACAAGGAAAGGACATGGATTAGGAGTTTATATCTTCTGCATTTCAACTGTTGAGACATTTTATGGAATGAAGAAATGGCCTTTGTTTTAAAAAGCTTCTGAGAAATTTAGGGTTGGAGAAAATCTGGAACTGAGCAACCTTGGTGAGAAAAATCAGATAAATAGGAATGAACTAATGGCAGGTGTATGTGAGAGTGAAGTTTCTAAAAAACAGCTTACTTTGTAGTAGACGCCATTCTTGAAACATCCACAGTCTTGTGCTCTAACGCAGCCAAAACCATCAAAGAAGAACCCATTGTCGCATTGGCAGCCTTCAGCGCAGGTCTCTGGACATGGTGTAGCATCTGTGATCTTGGCACAGCTAGTAGAGCAAAGGTTGGCACAGACCTCGTAGTGACTGTTAGCTGGACAGCTCAAGGCTAGACGAGAGGAAAGATGAGAATATAAGATGAATTTTGCTTCTCAGGATGGAAGTCAAGGGTGAACCTGGATAAATGCAGGCAAGTCGGCACAGGTCTCATAGTCAACTGTTTGGCTTGGCGCTAAAGGATAAGAACACACACATTGCAAGAAAAGAGTGTCCAATGGTCCTAAAGATGGCAGCACAAGAGAGAGGTTTTTATTTACCTATTTAAAATATTTTACTCCACCTTTCGCCTTAAAAGGATCCAGAGTGGATGAAACTGGTTATCTGTTGCCAAGTTCACAGGAGAGAGAGAGAGAGATCTTAGGACAGTGATTCTCAACCTTGGGTCCCCAGATGTTCTTGGTTCAAAACCTCTGTAAACCTTCACTACTAGCTGTGCTGGCCAGGGTTTCTGGGAGCTGTAGTTCAAGAACGTCTGGGGGCCCAAGGTTGGGAACCTCTGCATTAGGGTCTCAACGTATCTGATGATGACACTAAGAGTTTCCTTTGAATTCTTGAATTTCACTACATTTCAAATTGTGCTATATTTAATTTCAGCCACATAAGAATATCCTGCCAAAAGGGTCACATAAGTTTTGAAAAACAATCTCCTAACAGTCATGAAAGATTACCAAAAACCAGAGCTAAAAGGCTAGATATATTTTGTTCTCTGGCAGGATTCATTAGTATTAAATTATCATGATTCTCAGCTGGGTTTTTTCTTATAGTTTCCCTTTTTTTGGTTTAATTAAAGAACAAATACAAAATACAGATCACAATCTGATTGGCTACCAATGCTGGGGTGGATCTCCAGCAAACATTAAAAACTTCGTTAGTTCTCTGAACAGAGTTATACTCTTAAAGTGCTTTTATCCTTTATCATTGCCAGTAAAAACAGAAATGGATAAAGGAGAACCATTGAATCATGGATCTTACTTAAGTGTTGACTTATCAAGTTCCTATCAATTCAGTAGATGTATTCTACTTGGACCAACAGTAAAGACTTTCCTGCATCACTTCTCAACAAATGCATAACCAACCCCCTTTTATTAGTACTCACGACAGAAGGATGGAGTCCTCCAAGGCTCCACAGAAACCCCAGCATCTTGGCAGGCAGACACATAACTTTGGATGCTCTGGCACAAGACAGGACTGTCCCCGTTGCCCAGGCACAGGTCATAGATGCAGTCGTTGAAGTACACACTGGGGTCCACCTTGCTGTGGCAATGTCTGAAGGGGCCGTCAGAGGCCGTGAGGATCCCGCAGTAGTTGCGCTGTTTGAAAACCTCCTTCTTCCTTTCTTCACAAACCGGGCAGTTGTTCCCAGAGCATCCGTCTGAGCAGGAGCCATCGGCCCCGGGGACGGCCACTTTCCAGGCGGCACCAAATGCAGCCACATCAGAGGCAATCTTTCCATCAGGGAGCAGGAACTCATCATCCTTCCTCCCATTGTAGTTGCCACACAGGCCTTGCGTCTGGCCCTGGTAAGAGCCCGGGATGGTGACCGTCACATGATAGACCAAGTCATAGGCCACAGTGAGGCCAAAGGCAGCTTCTATCAGGACTTTAGTGCCGTGTTGATAGGCTCTGAGCTTCCCACCAGAAAATGTGATAGGAAGGGAATTGACGATCCCATTCACCTGTTGGAAAGAAGAAAAATATTTCATTCCTGAAGAGAGGAAGATGTGGCCAATAGTCATGAATCTCAGCTTATGCCAGGTCCCTATGCTTAGTCCCAACAGCTTCAACATTAAATAAACAATGCTAAGGCAAATAAAAAATAAATGGATTGTGTAAAATGTCTGGAAATGTATATGTGCCTTACTAATTGTTACTAATTTAGCTGGCTGGATATCTCAGTGCAGAGTGAGAAATTGGGAGTCCAGTTCTGCACTATGTGTCTCAGAAAAGCCAGCCTGTGCAGCCTTGGGCAAGCTGCACAGTCCCAGGGTGGCCCCAAAAGAAGGGAATGGTAAATATCTTCTGTGTACTAAAAATCCTGAAAAGAGTTGTCATAAATAAGAATTTACCATTGCACATGATTATTATTGTTATCATTAATTAGTACAGATGATGAAATTAACTATATTCCCGTTAGTACACGAGACAGTACTGAGACAGCTTAAGAAGTGAAAAGTGTTTTTTTAAGTCCTGATAACAGGTTGCCTAATTTTCATGATGGAGGTTTATCACAAAGTAATATAAACATGTATTTGTTGGGGACAAGTATGAAAATATAAAATAGGTGCTTAAAAAGTACTGAGCTAATATAGCAATAAGCTTAACATAATAATTGTAGCATTTTTGCTTAACATCCATGTGGATTCTTCCATTTTCGAGGAGAAAGCGATTTTTATTTAACATGTCTTTTGTGATCATAGAATCACAGAATCATAGAATAGTGAAGTTGGAAGGGGCCTATAAGGCCATCAAGTCCAACCCCCTGCTCGATGCAGGAATACAAATCAAAGGATATGTGCCAAGGTGAATAAGTATTCTTAAATGCCTCCAGTGTTGGAGCACTCACCAACTCTCGAGGTAATTAGTTCCACTGTTCTGCTCTAACAGTTAGGAAGTATTTCCTGATATTCAATTGAAATCTGGCTTCTGGTAACTTGACCCCATTGTTGTGTGTCCTGCACTCTGAGATGATCGAGAAGAGATCTTGCCCCTCCTCTGTATAACAACCTTTTAAATATTTGAAAAGTCTTATCATCATACCACCCCTTAGTCTTCTTTTCTTAAGACTAAACATGCCCGATTCTTTCAGTCTTTCCTCACAGGGCTTGGTTTCCAGCCCCCTGATCATCCTTGTTGCCCTCCTCTGAACAGAGAACGGACAGAGTTCCTACTCCTGTCCTCTGAAGATGCCGGCCACAGAGACTGGCGAAACGTCAGGAAGAACAACCTTCAGAACATGGCCAAAGAGCCCGAAAAACCCACAACAACCAGTCAAGGAATACCTTACTACCTTGAATGAGTTCAGATCTCCAGGGATGGATGAACTGCGTCTGAGAGTATTGAAGAAGTTGTTGGAAATAATCTAAATCTTCTTCATTTATGAAAAAAAAAAAAAGATCTACCATATTTGGACTGGCCTTGCTTGTGAGGAAAATATACCCACCTTCACTTGGCCCTTCTTGTTCTGCAGTAAGGTCAGTGTGATCCCATGGACCGTGACAGACACCATCTTGGTAACAGAGACCTTCCCATTCCCCCAAGGTTCATTTTCCACAGTAACAATGAAAGGGACCAGGGTTCCATTGTCTGTGCTGGCTTGAGCCAGTATATATGTGCAGGTGCCCTGGAAATCGAAGGCCAGTCCATCAAAAGAAAGGTAATGAGGGTCTCCAGAGGCCGAGCACGTGGCGTTGCCAACAGGGTGGCATTTGCGAACGCCTCCCGAAAGCCTGCACTCCTCGTGGGGTCCGCAGGAGAACGGCCCACACTTCAAAATCCCCCCAGCTTGGCACACACAGTGTTCGTGGCATGATGGATAGAAAGCCTCTCCTGCAGGATAATAGTGGCCTTGATGGAAGCATCCGCACTGGGACTGGGGCACACACTGGTCGCCACTCAGCACAAAGTCTTCATTGCACACACAGCTTTCCTGGCACTTGGCCGGAGAAGGGATGGGAACGTAGAGGCTGCCACAGGTCTGGACCGAGCCCTGAGCACAGAGTTCGTAGTGGCTATTTGAACCACAAGAAGGACCTGCCAGATTTGAAAGAGGGAATTTAAAAGGAGAGAGGCATTAGAGGCCAGTTAAACATGATGGGGGCAGTGTGAAGGCACATTCTTTTGGAGTCTTATTTGCATCCTCACATGATATCTGTGGTTTATGTGACTCAGTGGGAGTTTTCTGGGATGGAGTGATTGCCTATATATTCATCCCTAACCAATTGTTCCTTCCAGCTTTTGAATTAAAAGATAGCACCTTTTTTTCTGATAAGTTCTTTATTTCTCTGTTTCGTCAGTTAGATATAGTTGCTGTTGATCTGTTTGGTTGGTTACTAGTATGTGTGCAGTAAAGAAAGCAGAATGCTCGATTATTTCAAGTAAGTAAAGAAATGGTTGTTCTGGGTTTTTGGGCTCTTTGGCTGTGTTCTGAAGGTTGTTGTTCTTCCTGACATTTCGCCATTCTCTGTGGCCGGCATCTTCAGAGGACAGCAACCTGTGCTCTGCTGTCCTCTGAAGATGCCGGCCACAGAGACTGGCGAAACATCAGGAAGAACAACCTTCAGAACACGGCCAAAGAGCCCGAAAAAACCCAGAACAACCATTAGATCCCAGCTATGAAAGCCTTCATGAATATATTAAGTAAAGAAATGTTTTTTATTCTTTCTCCAGCAAATGTCTCAGGGTGAGTTATTGAGACTTTAAGTGCCAGTTAATGAGAAAAGGCTGAACTATGGGAACCTTGTAGCTTGGAGAATTTTACCAGAAATTCAAAACTCTGCAACAAATTCTAGCATTTCAGCCTCCTTTTTCGTTAACTACTTCCATCTATATCTTCTCCAACAAATGTTTCCCCCTCTTTATAATGGTGACCTCTGTTTCTAAAACACTCTCTTTGATCTTTTTTGCTTCTGTTCACTCTGTGGCTGAACACCTACTTTGGAGAGCAGTGACACTCCCATAGAAGCAATTTCAAGATGGAGGTAGATAATGTGGTTTAGAATCTAAACCACAGAAGATTAATCTAAAACAGTATGGGGAACAGTCTACCATATTTCCTTTTAAAATCACCTGGCTTGCCATCTTCTTCACCAAGAAAGATTATTCTGGAGAGAGGCACTTACTGCAGAAAGTGTCAGATCTCCAGGGGTAGATCGTCACTCCGGCTGCTTGGCACGCTGTTGCATAGCTTACAATCAGTTGGCAGATCACTGTTTGTTGGCCTTCAAAGAAGCAGTAATCATACACACAGTCTCGGAAGTATACTTCTGGATCAATTTTGCTATGACATTCTCGGAAAGGCCCCTCCTTGGCGAGGATGAGGCCACATTGACTGTTGAGCTTCCGTTGATGGCTCTCAATGGTGGCTAGATTGGAGCATTCTCCCTTGTCCACTTCGCTACAGCCTGGGACATCTCGCACTTTCCAGCTCTGACCAAAGGTCGATGGATTTGCAGTTATTTGACCACCTGGCATGGTCATCTCATCGTGCTTGTTCCCGTTGTAGTTCCCGCAGAGACCACAAAGGGCACCAGCATAACTGCTGGGCACCGTCACAGTGACACGACTCTGGCAGTCAAAGGCGACCGTCAGGTGGAAGTCTGTCTGGGCCACCACCTCTTGCCCTCTTTTATACAGGGAGATTCTGTCATTCCCAGTGCTGTGCGGGAGGTTGGTCAGCAAACCATTGACCTAAGACCATGGAGAAAGGGATGCATGTGAATTTCAGCAAGACCCAAGGTTGGGAACCACTGTTGTAACACAGTGTGTCTCCACACAAAAAACCAAAGACATAAATGATAACTTTTTCAACATTTTCTCCAAGTCATTCATTTTGTGTCAAGTGTCTACTGAAAGGCACCCACCTGTTCATCTAGTATTATTGCTTGTGGTGTCATTCTGTGTGACGTAAAAGCTGACCATCTTATCTACTTTGTCTCGCTTATTGAATGACATTGCAGCTCTCCACAGTAATTTAGCAAAGATTATATTTTATATAAATATATTTTAAAACCATGCAAATACTAATGTGTTTGATCACAGTTATGATAAAAATTAACTGTTTTCAAAAATTTTGAAAAATGGGATATACAATGAAGCAATTTTCATAACCTTTCTAGATGTACACAAAGAGGAGAGGGAAAAGGGGCAAAATCCAAAGATTTTAATTGTCAGAATCCCCCTCTGCCCCTAGACAATAACAGGATGATAGAAAGTTCTATGGTAATAGGGTATATGATCAATTTTGAATTTCCCTTCATTAGGCGAGCATCTAGCTAGCAACAAGTAATAACTGGTAGGTTTTTTGGGCTGTTTGGCTGTGCTCTGAGGGGTTTTCTTCCTAGCGTTTCACCAGTCTCTGTGGCTGGCATCTTCAGAGGATAGGAGTTTAGAACTCAGAGAACACAGACAGAAGTTCTATGGTAATAGGGTATATGATCAATTTTGAATTTCCCTTCATTAGGCGAGCATCTAGCTAGCAACAAGTAATAACTGGTAGGTTTTTTGGGCTGTTTGGCTGTGCTCTGAGGGGTTTTCTTCCTAGCGTTTCACCAGTCTCTGTGGCTGGCATCTTCAGAGGATAGGAGTTTAGAACTCAGAGAACACAGACAGAAAACCTCCAGAACATGGTCAAACAGTCCAAAAAACCTACAACAACCATCGGATCCTGGCCATGAAAGCCTTCAAGAATACATTAATAACTGGTTGTTGAAATGTAGGAATCATATAGAAAGCACGTT